CTGGTGAAGACGAGACACATGAAGGTTGCTGAGAGTATCATAAGCTGCTGACTGAGAGCTGATTGAGAGCGTTGCATAGCGCGGTGCAAATCGTTCTGAAACGAGAATAAGGAACACGCGATCAAACAACGAGAAATACGAGAAGAGGACTGATGATTGGTCAGAAAATTAGTAAATTGCATCTGATTAACCAAAGGTACACATAAGACTTGAAAGGAGCAGCTGTTACAAGGTAATAATGATAGAAATAAGGTGAGTGTTGCTGGCATTCCCCGACATGGAAAGAGGAGTTAGGACGAATATAATGGATAGTAATTTGAGTCTGACGTTGTGTGGATAACGTGACTAGTATGATTAGTTAATGGCATGGCGCTTTTAGTAATGAAAGGGGGGTGTACGCTGCATATGACCTTCAAATTCGTCCGTGTTTTAAGGTGGTGTTATGTACCATGACTTGTATCTTTTGTCACAGGATTTGAAGATGGAAAATTATGTAGAAATAGGACTATTAAAGGCTTCTGACTGTCTCATAATGTGTAAGTATTTAGCAAGACGTGCAAACCCGTGTAGGAATAAAAGGGAACCAGACAGAGCTGTGTCTCTTCACTTGATATTCAAACGAAATTGGGGATTTGCTGGCGTAAGAGTTCCTATCGACCAATCTCCAAACTCAACTGCTTCCAATTTGTAATCGATCAAAGCAAGACCTAGAAACTAGCTGACATGACACCTCCTTCTCTGTCCTCTCTCTCCAAACCCTAAAAAAGAAAAAAAAAAACAACTAACAACTTACAGACTCTATTAAGTGATATAACAAACCAACGGTAAAAAGAAGAGAAAAAAAAAATCCTGCACCAATATACCATCGTCTACCCATTTCGCCTCCTTAGGGTACATGACCGATAAACCACGTGTGTAATATTCACCTGTCTCCCAACAGCATCTCTGAGACAGGTATAAACTTAACCGCAGCTGTGAACCCGATACAAAAAATGAAAAGTCTGACAAACTGCTCTTTATAAAGGAACACCTCTTTACTGACTTTATTCCATCCTACAACCAACGAGACAACTGCCACTTAGCATAGGACACCGAAGTGGGGGGAGATCCTCATGAAATTACTTATCTGGTTTGCTGGACAGGGTCATGTAATTCCAAACCAGTCAGAAGTAATTTGCTGAAGTAAAGCAATGGACGAACTTTCAAGGGAATGATTTTAAGCGAGGTGTCCTGATCTATTAAGGAGGGAAGGACATGTTGAATAAAAGAGTGAAAATGTTACGGGAGTATGTAAATCAGATTCACGTTACTTAATTTTCTTGAATAATCAGTTCCCTGGATTTAGACCCAGAAAAACAGGCCTCGGCATCAGATATGGCCGACAGACAGACAAAGTGAAAGATAAGGATAGAGATAGATAGATACGAAGTTAGATAAATAGATAAATGAAGAGATAGAGAAAGAGAGATTGAATGAGATCCAGAGTGGGAGAGAGGGAGAGAGATAGAGAAATAGGGAGACATAGAAAAAAGAGAGCGACTGAGGGACTGGGAGAGAAGGAGAGAGATAGAGAAATAGGGAGACATAGAAAAGAGAGAACGAAGTGAGGAGTGGGGAGAGAAGGAGAGAGATAGAGAAATAGGAAAACAGACAGAAAAAAAGAGAGCGAAGGGAGTGGGAGAGTAAGGAGAGACATAGAGAAATAGAAACAGACAGAAAAAAAGGAGAGCGAGTGAGGGAGAAAGAAAAAAGAGAGACACAACACAACGTGAAGCCAGCGTGGGGTTCACAACTACCCCACGCGACAGAGGCGAACAAGACCTTGGTACTCCCGACCCTGACGACACCGACGGAATGCAATAAGAAAAGCGTTATCGGTTTGTTCATAGAGAAGGTCGTCCTCTCGCTCATAGCCTCAGGAACTCGGAACTCTTGCAAAAAAAAACCTTTATTAAGAGTCAGATATACGAATTGTTTGTTCTTGTGCATTCTGTTTCTTTGTAATTACCAACTTTTACGTTTTATTATCAATTATTAGTTATACATTCGTTATATTTTTAATAGTTATACTCTATTAGTGGAGGGAATTGCAGCATTAAATGTATGAATTTGTTAAATTTCTTTTGGTTCTGTGTAGTGCTTTTATTGGAGGGAGAAAAAGAGAAAATAAGATAAAGGAGAGAGAGATAGAGAGAAGGGGAGAAACAGGGAGTGTTTCTGCGAGAGAATGAATGGCAGTGACTGAATAAATGAATGAAGGAGAGAGCAGCGAAGAGAAAATAAAATAAAATAAAATTTAATAACATCAAAGAAGAAAGGGAGAGATGGGAAGAGAAGAGAAAAGAAGAGAAAGTGAGACAAGAAGAGAAAAGTGAGAAAAAAAATGATGGAGAAAAAAAAGAAAAGAAGAAAAAAATGAGAAAAGAAGAGAAAAAAAGTGAGAAAGAAAAGAAAGAGAAATGGAAAAGGATCTGTCTGGGACAACAACTACCTCACTCTCACTCATTGTTCCACCTAGAGGCTCGGGAACCACATTCTACAGGAGGAAATCATCAGTTTTTCAAACTACTAATTGGATTGGGCTTTTTCCCTCATGGGTACATGGTCGAATGGAGTAGGCTTTGGTAAAGAAGAAGAAGAGGAGGAGGAAGAGGAAGAAGAGGAGAAAGAGGGGGAGGAAGAGGAAGAAGGGGAGGAAGAGGAAGAGGGGGAGGAAGAGGAAGAGGGGGAGGAAGAGGAGAGAGGGAGGAAGGAAGAGGGAGGAGGGAGGAAGAGAAGAGGAGGAGGAGGAAGAAGGGGAAAGAGGAAGAAGGGGGAGGAAGGGAAGAGGAAGAAGGGAGGAAAGTAGAGGGGAGGAGAGGAAGAGGGGAGGAAGAGGAGAGGGGGGAAAAGAGGAAAGAAGGAGTTAGAGGGAGGAAGGACGGAGAGAGGAAAGAGGAAGAGGGGAAGAGTAGGGAAGAGGAAGAGAAGAAGAAGAGGAAGAGGGGAGGAAAGAGAAGAAGGAGAGAGAAGAGGAAGAAGGAGAAGAGAGGGAGGAAGAGGAAGAGGAAGAGAAGAGGGGAGGAAAGAGGAAGAAGGGGAAGAAGAGGAAGAGGGAGAAGTGAGAGAGGGAGGAAGAGGAAGAGGAAAGGAAGAAGAAGAAGGAAGAAGAAGAAAAAAGAAGAACAAGAAAGGAAGAGAAGGAAAAATAAAAAAAAAAACAATACGTTTAAGAATACTGCATATCAAAAGATACTGAATTATTGGTAAAAAACACTTTAAAAAACTTTTAACGTATTAGGAATCTCGAGGAAAATCAGAGAGAGAGAGAGAGAGAGAGAGAGAGAGAGAGACGAGAAGAGAGAGAGAGAGAGAGAGAGAGAGAGAGAGAGAGAGAGAGAGAGAAAGGAAGAGAAAGAAAGAAAGAAGAGAAGAGAGAGAAAGAGAAGAGAAGAGAGGAGAGAGAGAGAAGAGAGAAAGAGAAAGAGAAAGAAGAAAGAGGAAAGAGAGAAGAGAAAGAGAAAGAAGAAAGAGAAAGAAAGAGAAAGAGAAAGAGAAAGAGAAAGATGAAAGAGAAAGAGAAAGAGAGAGAGAACGTAAAATATTAACGTAATTCCACTCGGCCAATCTTGCGTCCTCGATATCAAAGACTTCACTTGCATTCGCCCGTTGTAGCGAAGACTAGGTTGCCAATTACCCTTAGAAAATTCATAAAATCGATAAGCTACAGACACCGTAGGCGGGGCTTTTGATGCCATACATAGCCTTTTGTCTGTAGCTTTAAAGAACGTTTGACGCAAGTGTATTTTTTTTTTAGGGATTATAGGGTAGAAACGCAATTTGTTTATGCTTGCAAGACATCATTGCGAGAACGTTGCGAAAATAGTTATCTAAATAGAGATTGTAGATAGGATTTTTTAGTTTGTAGAAAGTATGATAAATTCAACCCTCTTGACATTAGGATTTATATCTATCTGAAAAAGTTCCTTGAACTCAAAAATACAATTTCGTTAAACATGGCCATTAGGGTTTATGCACACTCCACATCTATGCACGACATCGTATACCTTTCCTTAGCAATTTCATCAAGTGATAGGAGAGGCAAAAGAGACAACTTCATTTCCATGCATTTGTGCCGTCGCGTTCCCGGCATCCACAGGCGGAGGTCCCCGTGGGAGGCGCATTACGGAGAAATAACGTGGTTAAGGACGAGCTTTCGAAGGCTGGGGGAAAGGGGGTTAGTCGAGGTTCAGGGGAGGCTTCACTTTGATATATTTATATAAATTTATATATACTTTTTTCAGGGGGGGTGGGGGTGGGGGGCTGCGATGAAAGAACAAAAAAATATACGCAGATAAGCACATTCAATGAAGTACGAACATGCACAATAGCGCACACATACACGGACACACACACACATACACATACACGCACACACAATCAGGCACCAGTGACATCCACGAGAGCATTCGGCCAATTCCAGGGTCAACAGTTTGGGCCAAAAGAGCAGCGTTCCCTCGGCAGCGCCACAATGGCCGCCAGACACTCCCCTGCCAGGCGCACAATTCCTCCTACGCCGCTTCCTTCGATACTTTTACTCCGCATCTTTCCACAGACGAATCTCCGCCGTTCCGAGACGCGATCTCAGCGGCGGGAAGCGAGGCAGAAACGGCCTTTTGGAGATCGGACGCTGGCTCGTCCTCGTCGGATCTCCCATGCGGACATTCCGTTATTATGCGCACACACGCCCATACACACACATACGCACACACACATAAATATATGAATAAATGAATATATAAATATATTTACATATACATATATATATATATATATCATATTATATACATATATTATACATATATATATATAATATATATATATATATATATATATATATATATATATATATATATATATATATATATATGTAATATATATATATATATAATATATATATATATATATATATATATATATATATATATATACATACATATATATGTGTATATATATATATATATATATTATATAGTGTGTATATATATACATATATCAAATATGTGTGTGTATAAGTGTAAACAGAGAGAGGGCGTGGTATGTGCACTTCCTACAC